CTTTTACGTTTTGTTCTACAGTGTAAACTGCACACACACTCACAGCCCAAATGTTCTTATCTAGTTACTTATTAAAAACATACGTTTTCAAAAATTAACATGAACTGCTTCAAAATTTGTGTTTTGGGTATGGATGCGTGTAATTTATGTTGTAGAACAAAACGTAAAAGTATCGTCAAGTTATGTTTACCACCGTCTTTATTTTACTCATTAATTGAAAAACCCCATAGGAAAATCTTGAAGGAACCCGTGGCGAATTACACTTCCGGATTCTGACGTCATAGTTCCCCCATTGTATTGTCACTGTAGATACAGAAACAATTTATACATAACTGATAACAATACTCCCTCTCTGCAATATGCTCTTTGTAATAATCATGCTCCTTTCATTTTAGATTGAGCTTATTATTAAAGCAACCGTTTCTACAGCTTATAATTTTTTTTTAATCTTGCTTCCAGATCTGCTCAGGTCTAACCTATTCTGATTCTAAATTCATATTTCTATTTGTATTTTACTGTAATGGAAAGGTCTTAACCATCCAGCCTTGTCTTTATGATAGATTGTCATTTCTGCAATTGCAAAACCAAATTGTTCACTGATTAACTTTACAGCTACTTTTTTTTTCTTTAGGAGTTTTCAATTTACTTTGCTATTAGACTGACAGGACAATTAGTATTAAAAACACGACTTTTGATTATTAATAAAGAAAACTAATACTTTTCTTGGTAATATTGGTAATGTTCATCAATTCTAATGACAGACATGTTGAGTAATTGAATACAGGGCCCTCCGCTAATATTGGCACCCATGGTAGATATGAGCAAAGGTTGCTGTGAAAATAAATCTGCATTGTTTATCCTTTTGATCTTTCATTTAAAAAATTCAACCCACCATTGTAAAACCATTGAAAGTGAGGGGGAAATCTCATTATGAAATACTGAGGGCACTGTATGCCTTGATGTGCCTAGATTATTAAGTACAATGATTAGCTGGTCTCTGATCAGAACAGGCTAATTTAACTATGCATAAAACGCAAAATCCATCATCACCATCAAGATTCCAGTCAGGGGATGTGAAATTAAGATGTGAAATTAACTGTAGCGTAAATTTTGAAGTATTTAACCATCTTGACCAATGGGGTTATTGCTATGGCAGATTAAAGGGACAAAATATGTGGAAGAATTAAAATCTGACATCTATTATAAAATGTATAAATGTACAATAGAATGACATAAGTCTACTGCATAACATTTAAGATAAAAATAGCTGAGAATTTCTGAACATTTGAAAATGACCAAGAGTTTACAGAAAGGTGAACTGCACAAAGAAGTCTGATGTTGTGTTATGAATAGCCTCCAGTATGAATGACTCTGTGTCAGTTGGTAGAGCATCATGGACAGTTGGAACTGCTGATGAAGAATATTTCCAAGCACCACGAGCTGTCCCCCAAAATGTACTGGGCCTTAAGTTTCACTTTTATTGCAAGAACAGTATGTACATGTATTTATTTCAGTGGACATAATGAAAAATGATAGATTCAAAAGCCATTATTTAAGCGCACCTGAGGTCCTTGGTCTCTAGTTAAAGGAGCAGGTCTGCATGAAGACAGTGGAAGCACAGGGCTCATTCCCATGTGGCGGCACTCAAATGCATCCAGCAGAAACCTGCCTTTGAACTGGCAATGCACATCACCTCATCCACAGAAACCAACCTCTAATCTGCCTCACCAGCACATCTGTTTCTGTTTTGAAGAAAAATTCTCGCCATGCCCGAAAGCACCTACCACTGCAGGTTCACCTGTAGGGTGACCCATGTCAAATTCCACCTCATACCACCTCTTCTGCTGGGAGCCTCTGCTGAGCAGGGGGCAGGGTAAGTGGCAAAGATGCTATGTACATGTATTTTTAGCCATGTCATGAATATGAATGATTTTAGGGAGCAAATGAGGAACAGGAGTTGGTAATAACACCCAGTAGTCTTATTAGAACTGTCATATTATTTACTCTGAGAGGCCTACTCTCTCTTCATTTCACACAAAATCAAAGTTGTAAAATAATTTATTTATTCTGCTAATGTATATATAGCACATTCTCCCAAATGCATGTGAATGAAGAGTGAATAATTGAACATTTTTCATACAAGCAGGTATCAGGATCAAAATCTAAACACAGCAGTATGAGGACAGACTAGGTTGCTGTTTATCAAAAGGGAAACAAATCGTTTATGAATTGTACATCACAGAAAAAAAAATAAATCTGAAAAATTCCAGGCTAAAACACACATCAGATTATCAGATCGCCACAAAAAGAAAAGTCTGTCATCATTTATTCACCCTCTTGTTGTTTCGAAAATATTTTGAAGAATGTTAAAGCTGTTTTGTGCGGTGGCCGAGAGAGCGCAATGCGCTGCAAATAAAAAAGAAAAAACACTTGCAAATACAAAAATGTTTAAGGGAATTGCAACAAGTGACAATCCTAGCTGGGACATGCTTATCAATGTCTGCTCTGAAAGGTGAGATTTTTGTTTATTTTAACATCCTGATCATCCTGATTTCTTAGCTTTTTTGGATATTAATAGCCTAAATAAGCTGACGAAATACACAATTAAAAAAGAAAGAAAGAAAGAAAAAAAGACATTTTTCAAAATATCTTCTTTTGTGTTCCACAAAATAAAGAAAGTCATACAGGTTTGGAACAACGTGAGTAAATGTTTCATTTTATCCCTTCAAATGTCATGAAAACAACTTGTCAAATGGCAAAAGTACATGTTTTTCTGCACCACAAGTCTACCAGTGGACCAAAACAGTTTGGTCACAGCTGGAAATTGGAGATATGCAGGAAAACACTTTCTGGTGTAACAGCCTCGAACCACTCTCACTTAAACCATGAGGTCTTTTTATCCTTCAACACATGCAAGTGTTTGCCAGCTTCAAATAAGGATTCTGGGTTGGAATAAGGTGTTTGTTGACTTTCAGTTCCTTGGTATGTTTCTTTTGATAAAATTATTTGTGGCTTATCTTTCAAATGTTTCATTTAGGGAATGAAATGGAAAAACAAAAACGTTTGTGGGAATATGAAGGAATGTTGTGAGGTTTTTGCACATATAAACAGGAGCTAAAGTGAATATCTACATGGATGGAGATTGTAATACACATTTTTTTAAGCATTTCAAGTTTTTCAATCATAATATCCCAGTCTGTTTTCTTTGCACACCACAGAGATACTGAGCAAATGAGGCACAATTTATGCCCAGCCAACTGTACTGCCCTTGACATACTGTACGTTTTCCTATAATCATTGCACTTGTTGCGTTTCTTGATGCAATAATTGATTTTCTATTGCCAAAATGGTCATAATGCACAGTACCACATTTTATTTTGTGTGTATGCACTGCAAATCTTTCACTTTCTGCTATTCCCTCTTGAGCTTTTCCATGCCCAAAGCTAACCATTTCATTCTGTCACAAGGTTATACAGTATGAATGTAAACAGCAGTCGTATTCAGGCCTAAGTTGGAGTTTGTCCATCTGTAATGGCCTCTACAATGTTAAATCATTGTGTCTTCTTCTAAAGTGTCCACAATAGTGTTTGTTGAGGCACAACTGGCCATAGCTGCAAGATTCTCTATCTGTCTGATAGCAGTTTACAGATGGACCCCATAGAATGTACCCCAAGGATATTCATTTGCAGCCCTAATGTTCTGTGGCAAAAGGACTGAAGTAATTTCAGCTGAAATAAATTGAATCTCGAGCTCATCGGAAGATTAAGTCAAGCCTGCAGGTACAACCGCCTTCCTCTTTCCAAGCAAAACGGACATTAGGAAAAGGCCTGAAATCTCAAATAATAACGTAAACAGTGGCAGAAGGGAAAAGTGAAATAAGACTCTGCCTCGCTCTGCAAGTCGAATGTGCTGTGGGAGACGTTGTGATTGATTTTGGTTTAAAGCATTTAGAGCAGCTGTTTGTTCTGAGCCTGTTTGTGAAGAGAAAAGCAAAGCGTGGACACATGCCACCACAAAAGGCAGCGGTCTATTAGATGCCATGCTTTCACCCAGGGCTTACTGGCTTCCACTGAATCAGAACAGTCAGGTTTTATAACACACTGTGCCACAGACACATCCTCCTTTGCGCTTTTAATTACAACCCCTTTGCGGTCTATTTTGACCACGTTCTTATTCTCCCCAGAAATGATTCACTGAGCTGACATCAACTAGCCGTTCAGTCAGATATCTTCATGTCACTCCTTTTTTTTCATGCTCCCCCCTTTTACAGGAATTTAAATTGTGATCCGACGGAGCACATGAAAGGGGATTTTGAGGCACATCATTTCTGCACTCAGACACAGATACATCAGAGCATTTCCCTCCTGCTGTATCCCCACCCGACTCATACTTTTTATAGAAATGCAGCCTCCTCTATTTTTCTATTACATTATGTACATTATATAGATGGCAGAAAATAACCAGAGAACCTCTCTATTTAGAATTCTCTGAATGAAATGATGTTTCAAAATCTCTCTGAATCAATCCTTTCCAGTGAGATTGCCTTTCAAGAGCATGTATAAAAAATAAGTATCTATATAAATAAAACACTTTTCATAGTCATTGTTTACACATAGATGTTCATAAGGGACACAAAAGGCTCCCTTTTTATAGAATGACCCAATCATCCCTTCCTCTTGAAGGGTTGTTCATTTATACAATATGTCTATCTACACTCCTTTTCCATGGACACTCCAACTACTGGAAAAACTAAATAGGCTACTTTGCTGTAATATTTATCGTCAATGTCCACAGCTGAGCTTCCCTCACAAGATGTGAAATCGATACGCTTTATAGCTCTAAGATCTTCGTCCCACGCAAACCTGTCGTATTGTGTTTTATATCGGCTAGAGAGACAACGGAAAAACATCCACTGGACTCATGGTGCATATTTCGCGTCCTGTTTAGAGGCACGCACGAGTCACGACGGAAAGTCCGTTCACTCCGTCACTGACAGCATTTTCACCTTCTCTCAGAACGAAACATATTGACTTTTATGGAACGGTAATTTACAGCTTCGCACAGCAATAATCCGACTAAGCTGATTTGATGAATTCATATAATAAAATTAAGGAGACCGAGAAAGATTTGTGTGTTTTTAAAGCTTCTGGCAAGAAAGTTCGCGCGGTCCTGAACAGCTCAACTGAAAGATGCGCGCGGACTCATACTACCATGAGGTGCGGTGTACAGTACCGGGCTTTTAAAGCTTTACTGTGTTACTGTCAGTAATTGTACCTGCTTTTTATCAGGTATTGCCCCTATTTAGTAAAGGTGGATATCTGCTGCTCGAGAACTGCTTCGACCACTAACGTTTAGCAGGTTGTTCTTTGTTTCAGTGCTCGTGTCCATCCTAAGAAATCAGAGGTGTTGTTGTTTACCGAGTTTACCGGCGCTTCACGGGCTTCTGCAATGCGAGACTCGGATTCAAACCGTTTGACATTTCTTTGGAAAGCCAGTCGACTGTCAAATTGCCATTGAATCAAATCGAATGAGCCGGCACCTGGATTGCTGAGTCGCAAGGTAAGACATGTACATTTCCAAATATGAGGCTGAAATTTGTCGGTCGCTCACATTGAAACAGTCTCCTGGAATGAACAGATATTGTCACTGTATCGTAAATACCTAGATGAATTACTGCTGAGTTATACTGTAGCCTACAAATGTCTAAAATATAAGCAAGCCTTCGGCGAGAGTGTATTACATTTTGAATACCTATAAAGTACATTTTTATGCTTATGTATGCGCTCTTGAGTGAAAAGTTGAACATTGGACAGTTGTTTACAGATAGACCATACGCTTTACATATCGTTATTGTACACATTGTTATATTTTATGTTGACGAAAGGACTCGAAACCCCGTGCTCGGATGCCAGAATTAACCTTTTTATTCCTCTATTTACTTTTCACTGCATGACACGCATAACTGATATGACAAAATCGTTTTATGTACAATACTTCTGCCAGTTCAAATGTACAGCACCTACTCTGTGTAGTACACTACCCTGTACAGTTCACAAGGAACATCCAGATGTATTATGCAAGCAAAGCATATACACATATATTCACATACATACAAACCAGCGTGTGTATACATTCATGCATTAATTTTCATCTTTGTGAATTTTAGGATTATGGATCATTCAGCTCTCATTCTCTGCTAGTTAAATGGTAATGGTATACTGCTATAGATGCCCTGTAATTGTTCACTGTTGTCAAAGGGGAAAGGTACTCTGAAAAACCAATTGTTCTCTCATCTTCCTGCTCTGATTTACCCTTCATGGACTGGGTACATGAGTCACGAGCCAGGATGTATGGTCATGAGTGAAACAACATCAACAGATAATTATAAATATGCAAATTAAATGAATACTAGAGTACAAATAGCCTCTTAGTATTACAAGTCCACATTCCTTTGTTCTTCCGGCCCTCTCTTGTAACAGCATTGTGCACAGGGAGATTAAAGTGCATACATGAGTAGCAAAAGTTTCCATTATCCATTTTACCCGACACATTAACACTGCTAAAGTGTTTTCAGCCTCTATTAGAAGGGCCGAGACTCATAAGGCTTAATTGACTAAGACACCGGCATGAGGATTTGATTGCACCCCAGCACAAGGAGGAAGGTGCTATAATCAATGAGGAATGAAGCATGTTGCACCTCTCGCTGTTTTGGATGCCTTGAGATAGAGGAGAAATGCTATTTACAAACTATAAAGGATTGAAAATGTACTCAATTAAAGCAGATTTGAAACAGCTTTTCTGCAATGGACAGATTGATTCAAGTATATCACAACAAGGACTATGAAGTGGTTGTTTGTTTGTTCTAATTCACTGTCAATCTGAGTGACTGCACCCAATAAGTGGTAGTTTTATTTGTCTTGCAAGAAAATGAAAACATTTGCATATTCATAATTACTGACAAAACCTTCTGTGTTGTGACCCTCCTCATTAGCGCCTTTTATAATCACATTTAACCCTATTAGAGATAAAAACAGAACAACTGAGATAAAAGGACTGTGTTTCTGCATATTGGTCTGATGTCACATGTTGACTCTGCTGTGAATCTGTGTGAGCTGACTGGATTCTAATAGGGTTATTTAACCACGGTCATTTCAGTTTTACTTGTTCTTGGAATGTAAACAGCATTTTTTTCTATTATACTGTTTATTTCTGCTATGCTATTCAGACTCTCCTTCTCACCTGACCTTGACAAAGGATATTTGCACACTTAAGTGTTTCTAGAGATGCAAATGTATAATTGCACACACACACCACAGTCATGATAAATAGCTAAATATGATCACCATTTTAAAAAGATGTTTGCTATTTGAATGTTTCCAGGAAGGACTTTAATATTTACTCTTTTCAACTTCCTGTGATAAGGCTCCATACAAAACATATTCATGAAGCTAAAAAAGAAAGTAGAAGAGAAATGCACAAGCTTATTGTGAATCTTAATGGGTCTTTAAAATGCTTTGAAGGACTCTCTGACTCAATTCTGTACTAGACAGTTATCTGTCATTTAGAAGACACTTTTTATCCTAAGCTGAATTGCTCACGGTCAATTCTACTGTTCAAATGTTTCAACAGAGCAATTCTGACAAATCATAGCTGCCTACATACTTTAGCTTGCTCAAATGAAACTAGACATAACTATAACATCATCTATACAATAATATTGTCATGTGAAATTATGTAAAGATGCACAAAATTAAAATGCTAGCTGCCTTCTACAATACCGTTCAATAAAACCCGGAATTCTGGTTCTCTGAAAAGTGTATTACATTTAATTTAGTGTCAAATTCAATTAAAAACAATTGGACACTCATTATCAGCTGCTTTCAATTGAAAGAAATATGCTGTTTCAGATTCACAGCAGAGTGTGGAAGTGTATTCCGTAGGAATGAAAAAAAATGTTGAAATTAAAATTCCACAATGATTTTCCGTCAATGAAAGACTCATGTACAACAATTTCTAAAACTGTAGCTGTAAACTCAGTTTCTAACCTCTCAGCTATGAACAACAGTATATGCTTACATGTTTCATAGGCCAAGCCCTGTCTCCCTTTGTCAAGAAATGCTTTAAGGCCATGTGAAATTTCACATTTCAAAGATCCCAATGGCAGTTAGAACCTGGGGGATTTTTTTTTTTTTGCTGTTTTCAATTGCCAGGGTAGTGCAGACTAAGCATAGAGTAGCAGAAATGGGAATTAGGTCTGCTGTGACATGCTAATGCCACTCATACTGGCATACATGCAGAGTTTGGGCAATTTTAGCATGGCCTCATTTTAATTACGAAGAACAACATGAAATAATGCTATCAAATGATTAATGACAAAAAGAATGAATTGCATTTGAATTTAATAAGAAAACACCATAAATTATAAAAACTAATTAAACTAATTTTATTATTTAAAAATAATTGACATTTTACAATAATATTGGATAATTTAAAAATTAAATAATATTTACAAATATAAATTTAAGAATAAATAAAAGCTGTAGCTGTCGTTTTATCTATCTCATTTCTTTTTGACGTTATACAACTTAATTGCTTCAGTCTTACATAAAAAGCCACAGAGTCCATGCACACACTGTTAATTCTCTACCACTAGTATCTTTAACCACAAACAGACCTTGTTTTATTTAGGCAGGACAAGAAATGATAACTAGCATGGGAGAGGAAACAAGTGGATGTCAGGAATGGATCTGCAGCAGCCATGCTGACTGTGTTGAAATGTGTATTGAGAATTGGGGGAGCTCAAACAAATTGTGAAGCATGAAGTCAGCATTCCTTGACGCATGATCCAACATTTGACAATCCGCAGAGGCATTGGCACAATCAAATCAAAAGCTCAGAAATAATCTGCTTTCTATCTGATTGTGTTGCTATTTTAATCACAGATTAATGAGGAGAAGGTAAGAGAGGGCACGCCAACCACTGCAGCCACGTGCCGTTTTCTCCATCACAAGAGAGATATGACAGGATTTAGATCGGAGTACAACCGATGTGCTCAGTTCAAGAGCATCATAAACCTGCGAGACTATTTAACTTCACATCAGTCACACATTAAAGATACTGATACATATTAGTCTGAGGCTCAGACAGCACACCTACGGCCCACCCACTGACCGTCTGATATACACTGCACACAAAACTGGAAAGCAGTTTCTCAATCTGGCAAAAGCTTATCTGATTGGCTGACTTTACATCGCTAAGGGCACAGAAGTTCTGTTTAATCAGTTCACCAGGAAACCAAGTCATGTTTACAATGCCAGATTGATGCAATGTGGAAAAACTAATCAATGATTAGTGATAAAATCTTTGAAAGATACACAGACATTTACTAGATTTCTGCAAGCAGAAAGTTTTTGTAAAAATGTTTATGATTAACTGATGATTAATTAATTGTAATTGCTAAAAAATGTATTGATTCATCAGTCCATTTGAGCACAAATGCGTTTCGTAATCATGCGAGCAGATGGTGGAAACACTGCCTCAACATGAATACAGTCATAGGAAGCTAGAATGCACCACAGCTGACACGCTGCATGTCATGACAAAACCTGCAGTAAAGTAAAAAAAAAAAAAGAGGAAGAATGCATGGTAAATTGTATACATTCAATGCAGTGGAAGTCATTTTGGATAAAAGCTTCTGCCATATGCTTAAATGTAAATGATTGATAATAGACTCTGCACACCAACTGCCTACATATTTCTGCTAAAATCTCAGTGCTACATAAGTGTCTGGTATAGTATTCTCTCATAGTGGACTGTTATATTTCTAATAACTGCCATAAATAATTACATTATGTTATATATATTATTAACTATATTAAACATAACATTTTATTGAGTCAAATATAAAGGATTATGAAAATTGACAATGCATGTTTTCTGAGACATGTCTGTGAAATAATCTGTTTATTACTTTTACACAGAGAGAAATCTACACAAATTGTGCACTATTGCCACTGTTTTCTGTACAGTCATTCACAAGATTGACATCCCATTATTATTTTTTCATGCCAGTCTATTATTGTAAAATAAATAATGTCAGACACAAAATATCATAAAATAAAATTGGCATAAAGACAAAAGAAAATGACATAACATTACTGACATAAAATGACAAATAAAATCTACAGTGTGTACCAGACATGCCATTTAGCCAAAGGTCTGCCTATGTAGGACTAACTACATATTTCCTCCTCAGTTCAATTCAATTCTGGATAGCCAGTTAGGCATTTAAGGTCATTGGCCATGTTTGGGTTTGCCTTTTTAACAAAGATGTCTACTTTACCTTCATGGCATATGAACTCTCAGGCATGCTCATGCGGCAGGGTTATCAGTGAGTGTCATGGGGCAGCAGAATGAAGTTAATTGACGTCTGCCTGATAACCACATTTTATCAGCTAAGTGGAGAGGAATGGGACATAATGGTTTTTGAATGTGTATAAAACAGCAGAAAACCAGAGATAAAAACACTCTCTCTTAGAATGACATGTACAGTCACTCACTACTCTGTTGCAAAGCCCCTCAATCTGCATTATTTATGTCACAGTCCCTAATAAGCGTCTTCACAGATCAACTGTAGCTTAAGCCACTCTTTGTGCCATAGACATCATTGTGTTAACTGCATGGCTGCCTTCCTACTGCCCAGCACCTGTCTATCCTGGCAGTTCGTCTTATTAAACTTTCCTCTGCATGTGCTCAATAGTCCATGTCTTTTCCTCACTTCTCTCTCCTCTCACTCCTCCTACAGCTCCCGGCCTATTGAACACATTAGCACCTGTCACATCAGTCCAGCCAAGGTCATCGCTCCTTCCCTTCATTCTCCATCCGGCTGTTAAACACCGAGTCCCGGCACTCTGCTCTTCTACAATGGAGAGCCTAAGTGAGCTTCAGAACCCTCTTCTGGATAAGAACAGCAAGCATATGGTGATGGCCGACTATGGCTATGGGGGAGACTTCCACAGCAACCAGTATCAGGAGAACATTATAAACTACTTTGTGACTGGTGGAGGTGGAGGAGGTGGCGGTGGAGGTGGGGTTGCGGTCACGGGAGGAAACGGCAAGGCTAGAGCCCAGCTACTGGATGCCACCTCGCTTCACTTGGCGGTGGAGGCCTTTTACAAGCCTAACTTCATCCTATACAAGGACGACGTGAGCGACAAGGGCAAGGATTACAAAAACGAATGCTGTGAGACCACCTTCATGGAGAAGAAAGACAAGGACGTAGTGGTGGAGACCCCCAGTACGGAGGACCCGCAGGCTAAACTGCTGGATGAAAACGAGGTAAAAATCCAGACGGTGTCTTACGAGGTGGAGGAAGAGGAATACGTGGAATATGAGGTAAGGTTTCTTTGAAGATGCGGAGCTGAACTGGTGTTGTTTTGTACGGCTGGATTAATTCATCAGGTCCTTGACAGGTGGCATTAAAGCGTCGCAGCTCAATTCTCCCAGGGAACACCAGCTTCTAGTTATAGCCTACTCTACAATATAAGACCCTATTTGGAAAGGCTTCACATTTCAAAAGCCTGCTCTTCAAAGGTTTAATTTTCTATTTGGGGTTTGAAATTGCTGTAAAACATCACTTTATGCTCTAGCAACATCTGCTGGCTCTATTGGATCATGTGTGACAACTACCACTTCAATTTCTCAGCAGATAGGCAAGAGCTAATGAGAGGGGTTGGGCAATGTTCAGTGCTGCTGATGGGATGTAATGGTGCTGGATGGGGGACCATCACCCTTGAAGCTCAGCGAGAGTAGTATGTATTCAGGTCATGTCCAGGACTCTGGGCCTTTCGGAGTCCCACAATGGATGTAGTTCCATGCTGAGCAGCTCCGGCGCTCGCTGCGGTTGTCTGATGATATTAAAGACATTCTCTGCATGTGGGGATCGGGACCTCTGCCCATACGGTGTGGTATATCGTCATGATAAGTGCTGTGGTTTACACTATAGTACATTGCAAAACATAGAAATGAATTTATCCCCCTAAAACAGAACCAAACTGAACAATTAAAGTAATCTAACAAACAAACAAAAAAACAATGCTAAAAACTAAAATTGTTTTTAAATGTTACAAGTCAATTTAGGCATCCCAAATTCTCTTGCAGCAAATAAACTGTTTAATTTTTAGTGTCATTTCAGTTATCATCCATAAAATTAAAACACGATGAGTGGCATTTCTCATCACAGCTTTCCATTGATCACAGCATGTGGCATAGTAGGCAATTTAAAGGTAACTAGGGATGCACCAACATTAAAATTCTGCCCATAATTAAATTATTAATGTTTTTAAGGTAATATAAATGTAAAAATAGAAGAAATGAGCATGTGCATTTAAATATCCAGCATCGACCAACACCAATAATTTTTATCACAATGTTTTCTGCAAAATTATTTTCCCAAAAATTAGCACAGATGTGAATGTGAATAAACAAGACTCCAAAACTCAAAATTGAGTTATGTCAAATAAAAAGTCATTACAGTGAGCAAGTGTGAGATCAGAACGATTCATCTGAATGGCTAATGATCAATTGGGTTCACACAGTGCCTTTACATCTCATAATAGGATATTCATGAGCATTCTTTGAGAGAGAATTCTACAGTGCAGTAGTAACATCTCTGTGACATTGAGGCTTGTGTTTCTTCATTTGTATTCTATAGCTTTAAGATCCCTCTGTTCTTCCTCTGTGGAAATGATAAAGTGAACTCGGGAGTTTGCCTCTAGAGACACCTCTGTTGTTCCCATTCTTGTTCTTTATACTGAGTGTTGTGAAATATATCTTGTGTGTAACAGAAAAGTGCGAACTGTGCCTTAGTTGTCCTCACTCTTGGAAAGTGCACACACACATCTGTCAGAGCTTCTCATTTGAGGGGGGGATTGACAGCAGATCTCATTTGGACGATCTCCTCTGGTGGAAAAGAGAATTGCCACTCACCATACAGAACAACATAATATTGGATATTCATTTTGAGATCTGCTAGATTCCTTTTAACAGTATTCTTAACTCCAAGTCAGCATTAGATGACAGTAAAAGTAAATCTAAATGTAAAATTGGGAAAAAATGGGCATTAAAAATTAAAATGTCCAATACTGATCCAACATAGACCAATACAAAAAAAAAACCTTGATTATCAGCCCATATCTTATATGGTATGATCCCTAGTGTGGAAATACCTTGTAACCTAGTATTTCTACCATTATCTGTACCATTAACAGGTCTGGGTATCTGTGGATTTTTTTCCATCATTGGGTCTTTTTATTCCAATTGACCATATGCACGGAGCGTTCTTTAGAACTTCCACATAATGATAAGCCAGCTCGTAAACTTCTGGTGAAGCGTCATTTGAAGTTATGGTATATATATAGGTAGAGACTCTTGAGACCATCACAGAAACCACTCCTGTCTCATTCGTGTCAGAAACTGAAAAGCAAAATAATTGTACATTTAAATGCTGACAACGAAACACTATTGTAACTGTTTAGGTTAACTTTAGCTAGCTAGCGATGCTATCTCGTAAACGACATCATAATAACAAAACAGGAAGGGGGCCAACACTTTTTCACACCACTGTATCTTGCAACCGCACTCATGAAAGCTCGCGTAGTAGAGGCGTGTAGCGCAGTCAGCAATAACATTTAGTCTCCTTTTTTGACGAAAATAAAAAGAGGTTTTTGGTAAAGTTTTTATCTTTTTGAATACATTTTAGTCTTGTCTTATTTCACTCACAATCACTCATTTCAAGTTACCATTTCATCTCCCTTTTTTCATGTCTTGCTTTTGGATTTATTATGAAGTGCCTATTATAACAAATTTACTCTACAGTGCGACCATTTCAGTCGCATTTGCGAATGAAAACTACTGCGTGCGACTATGAAAAATTTTTTAGGAGCATCAGAGTGACTGACCCAATCATCATCATACTTGTGATTGCGCTCAGGGGAGCTTCAACGGTTTCTACGTGTTTTTGCAGCGTTGAGTAATGTATCACAGCCATATCTCACGAATCCTTTCATAAGCAAAGTGTAGACAGCGTGTAAATAAGAGATCCATTGCGCAGTGTAGAGAACTTCGTTGATTATAAATGTGAGATCGCGATGAACTAAGATGAGTGACAGCTTTTAATGATTTTTAAGGGAGTTTGTAAATGTGATACTGATTTAATACAATACAATTCAATAAACAAGAAGTTAATATTAAGTGACTTACATTGTCTGACTATAACACTATTGTCTGATTTTGCTCTATTTCGTTGTCGAAAATAGTTTAAAACAATACAATTTTTAAAAAGCTTATAAAATATCATTTTTTTTAGAATTTGACAAAAGATGACATACTTTTAGTAAAGTTAGAGGAGTCAAATATCACCTCGTAATGGGAAGGCTACTTTTTGATAACATTTTGGATTATTGATTAGAAGGTGCTCCTAAAATTTTGAACGTGCTCCTAAATTTTTTAAGTGCTCCTAAAAAGAAAAGTAAGCGTAGAGCCCTGACTTAATGCACAGCTCTGTTTTTGACATCAGCTTGTCAGATGTTTTGCTCTGTCCATTGCTACAGTCATCACTGTCAATCATAGCAATGACTCGTGGCACAATTTAGCAGATTCACTCACTTCATTTTTTGCACTTGCGTTTGTCATTCCTGAAACTGTATACGTGGATGTTTGGTCCTATTAGACAAACAAAACTTTTCTTCAAATTGTGAATGGATTATGTAGAGAAACCGAGCAAAGGGTGCTTCTCTTATAGCACAGTTGATTTTGACAGTTGACCGGAAATGACTGAGCTGGCTTATCTAAAACCAGGAAGTAACCGTGCATATAGTCAAATAAGTGTATGTTTTCAATATGATCAATTGTAGATGCCCTAAAGCTGATTGTCTAATGATCTAACAGCTGGAGTGCTTTTGATGATTGGCAGTCTGCAGCACTGAACTTTCCACTCAATAATATCATTAGTTTCTTTTGCCATCCATTTGATAACATCTGCCATCGCACACCATCTGTGTTACTCTGCCGTGACGCCGTCAGTTGGTCAAACTTTGTTAAATGATAGGAAAAAGCAGACAAAACATCCAAAAAAATCTCTCAAATTCAATCCCCTGTAGAAAACATAACTGAATCTTTTGTCTTCCAAGAGCTGTTTACCACCAAGAGCCATAGGGACACATTTCTGTCGCAGTTGTGGAGATGTTTTAATTTAATTTACTAGGCACAGAAATATTTTGCTATGATGATTGACTGTGAAAAAGCAGAAAAGGCTGCATTGGGTTTTCTGTGTACAGTTGTATACTGTCAATCTGTCTTAATTTCTCTCTTTCCGCCTTGCAAACAAACTCTCAGTTGAAATGTTGCCTCACAAATATGTCCTTTATGACAGAAAGAAAGACGAATTTCAAGTTCTCCAACCTCTAATCATATTCTTCTGAAGCTTTGATGCATCTGCAGTTTCCAGCGTGCCGGATGCCAGTCTTGAGATGAATTTCAGGGCCATGTCAAAACATCAGCTGCTTATGTGGTTTTACATAAAGCTCCTAAAAGACATGCAATAAAGCAGCCTTCAGGGAGCAAGCTAAAATCAAAATTTTCAAAACTAATTTTGAAAACATCATAATGCCAATACAAGTTTGTGATTTCCAGACTTAACTGGGTGTCATTTTAAAAAATTGTGAAAATCTGTGTGAAAAAAAGTGAAAAATCATTCAAATCTGGTTGTACTCGTGTTTCCACAGCATCAGAGCCGAGCGCAACCGTTACATTGAACAACTAATGGTGTCTCTTATGCTCCTCTGTAGTCTAAATGAAAAGCTCTGGCACCAGGCAATCAATTAGTCTTTAAATTATTAAGACCCACAGAACTCTGTCAACACTAACCCATTCTTAATCTCATTACTGCTACATTGTGGGCGAGAGGGTATGCTGAGTTCCCAGGTGATCAAAGGCTATTTACACAGACTGAAGATAAATTAGCTTGCTGTGTATTCCAGTTGATGGATAGGTTAGCAAGAGTAAACATCGCAAAATGTATAATTGTACTCATGCATCTCAGTTAGGAGGTTGCAAATATCTATTACACAAGTTTATCCCAGGCTTCTGTATCAAATCGAGCCCAAGTACCCATAAATTACTACTACAGCCTTGAATATAATAAAATAATATTTCTTTAAAGATCTATGATATGAACAAGCATTGTCCATCAAACATCAGTTAAATCAGTGGATCCTGGGACAGAAAAGTAATGCCTTTGGAAATATGGAATGGAAAAATATGTGGCACATAATTATTATTCTTTTCACCTTTTTCAAGCCCACATGTCAGCCTGATTATTTGCTCAGTGATTGAGAATCCCATCATCGTCCTTGAACACGGTCATGCCATATGTAAGTGTGGTGGGGTCTATAAATCAGCCCGGGCTTATTAACAACTCACTAAGTCAGTATTTTTTATTTGTCTGGTGTGCGCTAGTCATTAATCAAACCCCCTGATGTATTATATCCTCATGACCTGCTCTTGAAATGCTGCCAGCACCTGGCATGACACAACTTAACTACTCTGTGCCATGAGCCAACTGCTTATAATCTCTGAACACAGTCCCATTAAAAATTAATGTGGCTGTTTTCAGCCACCTGCCGGGACAATGACCCCCGACGACATCGCTGATGCAGTTACTTGCCCCTTTGTTGGGATATAATTGCCTCGGAGAGCTTTTCACCTGACAACTCTTTTATTCCAGGATCCACCTCATCCCCCCACCGCCCACCTTTCCATCAGTTTACCGGTTGCTGTTTAGATCGCCTCATTCACTTTCCATCCTCAACATCAATTTCCATTTGTGCAGCTCTCCCTACAGACTGCTCGAAGTCAGACAGATGTGAAGGGAGACTGCGGCAAAGGAAGAATTAATAAATCCTTGTGTTTGTGCAGTTCGGAATAAATCTGTACGATTTGCGTTTTGCTTTATGAAAGGGTAAAAAGTCTGGTCCTCATTGCACCTTATTCTGGCCAAGAACCATCCGCTTGGACAGGAGGGGTCTGCCTGAATTCAGAAAACAAAACAGAATATAAAGTTTTGTTCATGCATATTTGTTCATGCATATCAAACAAAAATCTGATGCTATTAGCCTTGCAAACTTTGGCAAATACTACAGTTCTTTATCAAAAGTGCTCGTTATATAAACCCGTTACCTTCTGAACTTATTAAAATAATAACTGGGCAGCACTCCGACATAACAGCCGCAAACAACAATTATCAACAATGTCCAAGCGCTTTAGAAAAATGGAGATAAGAAACTAAATTGCCAAATTTGAAAGAACAGATGTTGCTGAAGCTATGAGACAGTAAAAATAATGGTAAATGGTATCACACATTTAGAGGTTTTCCTAGTCATAGTGCCCCCTAACAATTTAATAAAAAATTAATTTAATAAACTCTACCGCTCAAATGTTTGGGGGCAGTAAGATTTTATTTAGAAAGAAATCAATACCTTTCAGCAAGGATGCATTAAACTGATCAAAAAAGTGACAGTAAAGACATTTCACAAATGCTGTGTTGAAGTGAAAACTGGAGTAAGGGCTGTAGGAAAAGTCAGCTTTGTCATCACAGAAATAAATGACATTTTAAATATATTAAAACAGAAAGTTATTTTAAAATGTAATAATATTTCAAAATATTATTGTTTTACTGGTTGTTGTGATTTTAATAAATTAATGTACCCTTGGAGAGCATAAGAGACTTTCAACTTACCAGCCACAAACTTTTTAACGGTAGTGTATAAATATAAAATAAAATAATCCAGTATAATAAAATAATACAGTAGGTTTCCTGCACCTTTAGTGTTTAGACTTCAACAAACACCCAGCCAATCAGACCAAAAGTGTGGATTTCAGTCAGCTCTTGCCACTTTTGTGTGCAATATGCATCAGATGGTCAGTGAGCAGACTATGGGAGGTCTGTGGTCATGCCATCTGATGATAATTTCAGTGTAACATGAAACAATTTTACTCCTATTACATTGCGATGGAAACGTGTTGGACAGAGTAACTGGAATTTGGATAGATTTGATTAAGCAGCTAATTACAAATGTATATGGATTCAATTTCCTCTGTGCAAAAGGAGAGCACTCATCCAGAGCCCTCACACATGACACACACATAATAAGTTTGAAAGTGTTGACATCGATCACCTTGAAAATGAGATGAAGTTCTATTAGCTGAGCGATGGATCGCAAAACAGCAGAAAAGACAGAAAGGGGGAGAAGGACAGGGCTCATCATGCTCATGCGTGCATTTTGGTAACATAAATTACACACTTTCCTTCCTGTGCCTCCTGCCACCCTGAAAGGATAAAACCATCCATTAATCTGTCATTACCTGTCAGGAAACTGGCAAGCAGTGACAGCATCTGCCGTCACCCCCCCCGCCCACCCTCTTTCAGGAGAGGCACCTGAGAGGAAGAAGGTGGGCTTATCGGGGGCCAAGCTGTGGGACACTGGCTCTGGGGCTTAACCATTTTACACTGCTGGCAGATTACTCACATTCAGCTTAGATCAGTAATAATATAATGCACAAATTTCATGCCTTTCAGCCGAACGCAGAGATGATGAGATTGTTTTTGACTTATCTGTTTTTATTCCATTTTTTTGATAGTTCAATGCATTAGGCATTTGAATCCATGAAGGATTCTGAAAGAAAGGCATTTGTACATGTTCTGTCATTTTTTAAACATGTTGAAAAAATGTCAGGCACCATCAGTTGGAATTTAAGCGTATACAGATGAACAAGCTAAAAAAAAGTGTGTAAATTCATACAACTGTCATTTGATTCACCTGGTCATACACGCTTCTGTACGGCTATCAAGTGTATAGACTTCTAATTTGTGCACGGGTTATCAGAACTCACACCATGTTTGCCTGGCATAACTTTCTATAATTTGTCACGAATAGTAAGATAGCCTAGTTAAAACTAAATACCCCAATTCAAACACACCTAAATCACACCTAATGACTTTCTGAAATGAAATTCTGAACTTTCGATTCATCAAAGAATCCTTGAAAAAAAGTGTTTCACAGTTTCTGCAAAATTAAGCGGCACAAGCATTTTCAACTTTGATGATAATAATAATAATAAGAAATGTTTCTTAAGCAGTAAATCAGCATATTAGAATGATTTCTGAAGGATCTTGTGACACAGAAGATGGGAGTAATAGCTGCTGAAAATTCAGCTTTGACATAACAGGAAAAAAATTACATTTCAAAATGTATTAAAATAGTTATTGTAAACTATTTTACTGTGTTTTTAATCAAATAAATGCAGCCTTGGTGAGCATAAAGAGATTTTACAACAAAAAAAGTGAAAATATTACCTACCATAAACTTATGAACTGTAGTGTATGCACTATATAGCCAATTTATACACAATATCAATAATTTAATACCAATAAAAACAACAAATAATATTGCCTGACAATCAATAGTTATGGTACCAATATACTGTGCATCCCTATATAGTCACTATCATTTGATTATTGCTGAAGAGATCTACAGTTTCAGAAAAGTACAGTATGCCACATCCTCCAAAACCTAGCACTCAAAACCAACCCACAACAAAAGGAGTTGCACTGTGCAAATTGCTTTCAGCACTGATTTTGTGGGTGCGTTTGCAGAGTTACGTGATAATGTAACTATTTTGCAAATTGAATCGGGTGCTAAAACTGTGCATGTAAACGATGCTATCAGCCGGCACAGTTCATTCACGAGCTCCCTCGCATTGTTTCAGTTTCAAGAACTAAACTGCTTGTCCACAGCACACAGTAGACCGACTAACAACTGCCCAATGAAATATTTATATCCTCTTATGTAACGTCAAGGTGTTCGGCTATAAGCAATGATAAAAAGTGTAGGTTTGACGACTTGTTATATGGACTGATATTTGTCAGATTTCTTTAGCATGAATGACAACAAGGAATGTCAGTTTCCTCAGTTTCTGAAACCCAAACACAAAACAGTATTTTGGCTTTTGCCAAAAGATGTACCAGACCATATGGCAGAAAACATGACAATATCCAAGCTCACAAGCCACTTCACCTTCTTTTTCTCCTCCTCATGGAGAAATCCAATCTAACATCTTATGTTATTTCATAGAGAGGTAGGCCTATTATTTTCACAGATAAAACCCGTGACAGAGCTATCCTTCACCACTGATGATTGCAGCATATTGCTATGAATCAGTACAGAAATATTTTCCTAACAGCTTTCTTCTCGGCACACTCTTCACGAGGCTGCGATATTTTTAGTTACTCAAGTGAATCACTAGAATCAAAGGAGAGAACTGACAAATAACGAAAAATGCTACAGAGATCCAATGCAAGCTCTGTGAACAACACGTGTATCTCAACATTGATTATCACAGAAAATAATTTTGATATTTGACTCTTTTTGAAGTCAATGAAAATTAAATGAAAATTGGGCCAGCGAACTACTACGGGGTTTCAGATGTGTTCAAAGTGTGAAAACAATTTATTTTATTTTTCATAATTTTAAGTACACTAGCACTCAAAGGTTTAGGGTCAGTAATATTTTTTTAAAGAAATATATATTTTTATTCAGCGAGGATGCATTAAAATGATCAAAAGAAATTACTTTTACATTTTTACAAAAATTCTATTTCAAATAAATGCTGTTCTTTGTATTCGTATTCATCAAAGAAAAAAAAATCACTGTTTCCAGAAAAAAAAAAAAAAGTAATTTAGACATGCAACTGCTTTCAACATTTATAATAACAATACATGTTTCTTAAGCAGCAAATCAGCATATTAGAATGATTTCTGAAGGATCTTTGACACTGAAGACTGGGGTAATGATGCTGAAAATTCAGCTTTGCATCACAGGAATAAATATATTAAATAGAAAACAGTTATTTAAAACTGTAATAATATTTCACAGTATTACTGTTTTTAGTGTATTTTTACAAATAAATGCAGCCTTGGTGAGCATTTCTTTCAAAAACATTACGAAACCTTACAGACTCCATATTTTTTAACAAATTACTTTAGGAGACAATATTGTTTTTATAGTTTTTGACTTTTAACTTATATTAAACCCAAAACAATCCTGTAATCCAGACTATAAAAACAACACTTGTGAACAAATTGAAGTAAGTTTACTGAATCTTCTTTCTCTTTATAGACAGATTGCTCCAGCGACAGTGAGAGCGAGGACAACTTCATCGTCATCCCTCCTCGTGATCACCTGGGCCTCGCTATCTTCTCCATGCTATGTTGCTTCTGGCCTCTGGGCATTGCTGCTTTCTACTTTTCTCAGTGGGTAAGTGCAGAGCCCCCCGACCAAATCCACAGTCTAACCATTAAGCCTGCTAAGAATCTGCTATAGCACTAGAGACAGACAAGATTAATTCTTCACCACTTTTTCATGTGTGCCCTGCAAACAAGCTTGCAGTCTCATTGAGAGAAAAGAGTCTGTGATCTCTTTCAGCTTCCTCTAATAATACAGAACAGGTGCCTCATTATAATACCCATCATACGAGCAAACAGCTCTGCTTGTGTGACTGCAGAATTATCATGCACTTCTCTAATATATAGGGATGTAACGATTAACTGCGAGCCGGTTGAAAATCGATTTAAATATGTGACGATTCAAATCGGTTGAGATGTTAAACAAATCGCGATTCATTTAGGGTTAGGAGTTTATATTAATGCATGTCTGAGGGGAACTTACTGTCTTTAGAAAAGTTTAGATGGTATTTTTTCTTTTCATCTTGCCTCTGTATAGTGCATATTAAAGTTCATAAGTTCAGCGCTGCTTTGTTTACCGTGAAATTAAAATCGCGAATCGAATCGTGAGTTGAGTGAATCGTTACATCCCTACTAATATACATAGTATAAACATGAATGTACTGATCACATGGGTGTGACAAGCATGGGCCCTCTGATGCATGTGTTTTCAGCTCCATTTTCACATTCGGAGCAGAAGACATCTATTTTTCTACTTCAGAATGAGCCTTTTTATTCTTATCTATAGTTTAGTCCGTGGCAGACATGGCCAGAGTGAATTATTTTGTCAGGAGCTAAGTGAATTCTCCCAGAGTAATTATGATGATGGTGGTGTTGTTCAGTGAAGGTTCCCCAGAATGCAACTTGTTTGTGTGTGTGTGTGTGTGTGTGTGTGTGTGTGTGTGTGTGTGTGTGTGTGTTTGTGTGTGTGAGAGAGTGTGAGGAGGATGGAAATGGGATCTGGTGAAAATGTGAATGTTTTTGCCGTCTGCTGGCTGGGAATATTCCTCCGAGAACATCCTGAACAGATTTTCTCACCTTCCCCGCGGCATAGGGTTGAATGTTCATGAGAGATGTCGCCAACCATTTTCCTCCAACTCCTCCTTCCTCTCAGCATCAACCTCTGTCTCACTCCTACAGACTGAGAAAATGACTTTGTCTTCATTTTATAACTAATCAAGCACTTTGAATTGTAGAGGACTATTATGTATAGGAATTGTATAAGATGTTGATATAAGTCAATATTAGTCCTACAAAGGCCATGACACTGATCATCATTCTGTTAGAACTTAATTAACATTAGTTAAATGAATCAGTTTTTCACATTTAAACATTTAAATTTTTAAAGATAGATAGATAGATAGATAGATAGATAGATAGATAGATATTGAAATTTTTAATACATATAAATGCCACACAGAGATGTCCAAGAATATGTTTGAGTGTAAAAACAAACATAAATGTATGAATCAATTAATTGAAATGGACTGTTTAAATAATGAATTGTAACATACAGTATTAAAATGCATATTTATTTGAGGTCTGCTTAAAAGTAACAGTATTATTCAATTATTCTTATTAAATTAAGTAAGCATTAGTTAACTGCAAAAATAATCTAATTATAAAAATAAAAGAGCAGCATCAAGAAATATCCTATATCGACCAATATTGAAAAACTAAAAGTGTATAACAAGTTAAAATAAAAATATAAATAATATAAAAATTTGTTACAGTAAGAAAGACCATGAAACTAATCTAATGACACACACCTGCAAACACATTGTAAATATGTAATATATCTCCCAGCTTTACTGGGAATGTTTGCATAAGTAGATGTGTCTTCAAATTAAAAGATAAAAACAAACGTGCAAAAACATGTTAACATGGCATCTCAGCTGGTGTATCAGCACTGGTGTGTCCAAACAACCCATTATTGACTTTCACAAAGCGTAGGAGTGAAAATCAATAGTGTTTTCCCTGGACTACAGGGTCAGATGCAGTGACAAAGAGAGCAAGATGCCTCCCACAGCGACAGCCATGTGTGACTGGCAACTCTTTCCACTTTCTCTTGAGAATACTAAAATAGACACTAGATTCCAAAGGGTCATGACACAATCACACAGAGCGACTGTTCAAAGCATGTTTGCTTGCTTACAAGTAGCGGACACCATGCTGTGGGGAAATAATGCAACGTTGTGCATAATAAGAGTCGGTTTAGTTATCTCCACGTTGTACAAAAATTCACCCCGTTAAATTCATGCAGCCCTTGAGCCATGTTTTTGGTAAATGAGCATCATAGTAGAACTTAATTATTCATTTGAATGGGGAAATGTATTAAATAATCTATTACATGGGGCTCCATAGGCCTCGCTATAAAAGAAATTAAGGCAGTGTTATGTTTCTTTTTTGAACCTAATAGCTCTCAGCACAGCGTACTTCAAGCAAGGGGTTAAATGGAAACTGCAAACATTAGATAAGGCCATTTCATTGGCGTTTCAAGTCACATGTCATTTCTTTAAAACGCTCAGGGGGTAATAGTACAAGACTGAGTGATTTACTCTACCAAACAACTGTGTTGCTATTTATCGAGAGAATTGCAACAGCTGCATCATGAGCAAAATTGTATTTTCTTCTGATCTCTGTATCATATTTGGCTTATCCCTTCTGACACGATGTTTATAACAAGAAAGAAACAGTTAGTTGTTAAAAGTTAGTTGACGAACAGAACGCCTGTGCAATGCCGGCTACCGCTTTCCCTCGCGTCTCTGTTGCATCACCGATCATGACTGAAACCTCAAAGGTGTTTTTTTTAGTAAAGTTTACAAGGAAAGAAGCAGGGACAAAGCAAATGAAAAACAAAAATATCAAGTGTTCCCAATGGAAAAATCAAAGATCTTTAAAGAAGTACATAAACAGTACTACTGCTGTGTCAATTGAGTATATTTACTGAAACTGTTTTTAAAGGGTATTTGTTCAATTTGCAATTAAAATAGTTTATTTTGATTGGTCAATCATGGCATTTAGAAATCAAATATTTCTAAATAATGCTCAATATCATAATAGTCAAATATAATGCTCTTTCATTTGGGTAAGAATGGCTTTTATGCATTCTCTTTTAATACAACCCAAATTTGGACATTGATAATAATAATAATATAAAATAATAACAACAACAACATGATATAATTTCAGTCTTTGTCTTGTTGCTAGGGTGATTGTTTTCTATGTTTTAATGGATCACTTTAAAATTAAAAACTTTACATTTGAAACATTTTCTAAAAGTAATTTTGAAAAGATTTATTACATGATTAAAGGTATATAAAAGGTCTTTTTATTCTTCAGTGATATTCTGAGACACGTTAAAATGGTGATAAATAAATGATAAATGTAGTCTAAACTGCAAAAAGGCAAGGCAAATTTGAATCAGTGTATATGCAGTGAAATGGTATATTTTCTTTGTGACACTGCCCTTCAAAGTGGGTCGAATGGATTTTTAAAATGTTGTAAAAGCGTATCGTGTTTGTCTCGGCGCTGTGCGTAAGAACATGTCTGATATTCCATTCAGCCCTCAGCATCATCAAGGAAGCACTATATAGTTCAATGCAATTTACCCTCGAGTGGAAGACAGGTCAATGTATCCTTTGATCTTGCTTCTTTCTCACAGCTCCCTTTCTTTGTTCCAGACCAGCAAAGCCGTGACCAAGGGAGACTTCCCATTGGCTAGCATCGCATCTAGACGAGCCTTGTTCCTAGCCGCTCTCTCCATCACCATTGGGACGGGGGTCTACGTGGGCGTGGTGGTGGCCCTCATCGCATATCTGTCCAAACCAGGCCACATTTAGCACAGCCAGGAGAGGGCTACAGGACTCCACGATACTACACAATCGCCTCTGAACGTCTTTTTCTAAATGTCTCATTCTCATCCCTCCCCGTGGACTGGCTGTCCACCCAAATCAGAGAAAGGGATGAACCAGAAGAGGATGAACCAGAAGAATAATATATAAATGTAAGCTTCACCTTGTGTCACACCACACTGGATAAAACTTAACTAAGTCTGAGAGCAGTTCAGGTGAAGAATATAAACTATAGACAAATAAGCAATCCAATTAACCAAACCCAAAGGGAAGCTATTCCAAAGGACACATGTAAGGATTAAAAGGGACTAAGTGCCCTTGGATTTGTTTTTTTCCCCTTTCCAACTGTGCTTCTTTCCAAACCTGAAAGAGAAGTCAAGCCGTTCTCAGTTTCTCTCTCTCAAACCCTGTATATGCGTGTGGCCCAATTAAACCAGCACTGCTGAATATACCAACTGCAGTCTGTGAGCTCCATTAAAAAGGACAGAATGTGGTCCAAAATAACACAGCTTTGTATGTTATAATAAGTGAATGTGGAGTTCAAACAACTTAACTTAAATGCTTATGATCATGATACAGAACTACAGGACAAGAAATAACTATCAAAGACAATGTTGTCCACCTCTATGAATTGAAATTCATCTGTGAAATTCAGCGTCACTTATACACAACCTGTATGTCGTTCCCACTTGTTTAGGGCTTTATGCTTTGTGTGTAAATTCTATGTCTTTTGTTTTGTCCAAAGTCCAAATCTTCATTTTGACCCAACACAGGCTGCAGGAGTTGTGATGGTAGAAGAAAAAGATAAGTAAACATGGATGAAGAACAAGGAAAACAAGTGTTTATTTTATATTGGTAAGGATTTGCTTGACTTTAACAGATTCTCTTTTACTCCCAGATGTCTGAACTGAATATAAATTAAACGACTTTACACGGATGGTATGGCGATGTGTCCTTTCACCGCCCAAATGCACCACTTAATGTCCCTTATGATTTAAAAAAATCTTCAGAGTTGGCAAAGCTCAAGACAGATGGTCAAAAATGTGCAATATACTATCCTCAAATCCTAAGATGGCTGTTTGAACAAAAAGGGCAGGTTTAGTTTTCAGATGAAAGGGACTGAGATTGAATCTATTAATAATGTATTGGATGTCTCTGAGCTCACAGACATGGGAACGAACACACAGGGGATGTTGAGTTAAAGGTCGACTAGTCCATTTCAACAACAATGGAGACTGAATCTGGTGTAGTCATCCACATAAGAACTCGAAAACTTGAAAACTATGGGTTCTTCAGTGGCTAGGTAGTGATTCGAGGCTTGACTTGAATTCCTATGCTACAGACCTCATTTGGAAGCTGGTAGAAATGAAACTGGCCACATTTTGAAGTTAGCCAATTGTATGTAACCTCCTAATTGCTTCTCATGGTGATTTGAAATGTCCAATAGTATTGAATACCCTGATTCTACACAAGTTTGTATATTTACAGTGTGAGGCTTTTAAGAGGTTGGATTCACAAAATATTCCTAAGTATAAAAATCTTTGTGCTATTTTCTTCTCTTTTTTTCAACTTAAGTATCATCGTAAGTAACCTCTTAAAGCAGGGGTCACCAAACTTGGTTTTGGAGGGCCGGTGTCCTGCAGAGTTTAGCTCCAACCCTAATCAAACAACATCTGAACCAGCTAATCAAGTCTACTAGAAACTTCCACGCAGGTGTGTTGAGGCAGGTTGGAGCTAAACTCGGCAGGACACTGGCCCTCCAGGACCGAGTTTGGTGATCCCTGTCTTAAAGTTAGGCTAAACTCCAACCTCAAAGTCTGTCATTTTATTCTTAAGAAAAAAAAACTAAGATACTCTTGAGAAAATTCTTAAAGTGCAATTTAATAAACTTCTCTTGTCTTTTTTCTTAAGTAGATTTTCCTGCCCCAGGAGTAGGCACAAAAACATAATAGCTGACATCATGAAACTTATAGGTTGCAGATGCTTTTTGCATTCTGAAGGAGCTAATTCACAAGGACTTAAATGTGTGTAGAGAAATGTTAACTGTGAAAAGAGCTAACGGGTAAAGGTCATGCTTTACAGTCTTCATGTAAAAGTGTGAGTACAAAAGAGACGTACTGAGCAACAGTTGTACTTGCACTTCTGTTGTGAGAGTTAAGAAACTTCTGCCTGCCTTCAGTATCGTTATTGCTATTATTATTCTGCTGAATTATATCAATGCGTAAAAAGTGTAACCTGGACACTGTAATATAAATTGTAAACAGATGCAACTGATAAAAATACATTATCTTGAATAAAAGTCAATAGATCAGGGAAATATTTCAACAGGAGGACAGGTTTCTATTGTTGTGGTGCTTTTGTCAAGGTTAACAGATTTACTCATTCATTGCCAGTGCTGTAATCTGAAAGATGTTGGTGAGAATAAATTCATTGAATCACCAAGCTTTTATTAGACAAGATTAAGCAGAAATGAGGGTACGGTTGAGGATTTTACAGCTAATTCACTGTTCATATCTGTGCCGTAGGAATTAATTACCCTTAAAGGGATAGTTCACCCAAAAATGAAAATTACCCCATGATTTACTCACCCTCAAGCCATCCTAGGTGTAGATGACTTTGGGGGGGGGGGGTCGAAATTTTTTTTAAGCCCAAAAAAGTGCATCCATCCATCATAAAAAGTACTCCACACGGCCCCGTGGGGTTAATAAAGGCCTTCTGAAGTGAAGCAATGTGTTTGTATAAGAAAAATATCCATATTTAAAACTTTATAAACTATCATCTCTAGCTTCCGCTAACTGTCATATTCACGTTCACGAGAGAGTGGCGATCCAGTGGATGATGTAGGACGCACGCGTAGCCTAAGCTCCGGTGAGAATATGCTAGTCTCACAAGAACCAAGTTTTGTTTACAGCAAAGGAAAACCAGTCTCCTCTTGGCTTATATTGAAATCCTCTTGTCATTTTTCTTTATAAATCCTCGTTTTGTGACCGTTGTTTTGTTTTGCTCTCTCCTCTGCGCTTCTGTGTTAGACACTTCTCACAGGAGCTTGCGCTACGCTACATCCTATGTCCTATTTTTGTGTGAACTATCCCTTTAATGCTTAATATATGGCACCAAAATGAAGCTCCAAATACTCCAAAATGAAGCACCTGAGAATAAACTAAATTCTCATACCAGTCATATCAGAACTTTTGTAGGTTTTTATGCAAACACACCACCCTACATTCACATACTTGAAATAGTATGTAGCATAATGCACAACAGGGAAGAATAATGCCTGGATGGTTAAATGCAAACCTCTGCTGCTTCCTCAGAGCCTGTGATGCACAGCACACACTTAAGACCTTGCTGGTTTTGTTGCGGTCTTTAGCAAATGCATTTCCACTGCAACCACCGGAGCACTGAAAGCCAGCATGGGACACTTGCAGTCTCTCAGCGCAGGTCATGCATTAGTCATACCTGACATTTACGGTTCACAATTAGCTTCCCATAATGGCTTTTTTCGAGGAAGTGTCTAGTCTCCAGAGCATAGCTGGAAATAGCAAAACAGAATCAGTTTTTACAAATAACACTCTACGCTACTTTGCAGCCACTGAGGCTTGACCAAGCAAATCTTTGCTATTTTTAAGTGTAGTGAAAATAAAATTAACATGTGGGTTACAAACTACAAATTAGAGTATTACACTTGCAAAAACTCAAATTGGCTGTAATAAAAATGGTTTTCACTTTCCATCAAGGTCTCAACTGATTCTAAAATGCTATCAAGCCTTCTCAATTTTTTTTTCTCGTGTTTGCCTCATTAATTTCTAAATGAACAGTGTCAGCATCTGCCCTCTCTTGATTGTGTATCAGCCTGGTCCAATTTTTCCCCCATTTTACGTTTCCATAGTGACTAGTCCTTTTCAGACATTCATTTTATGCCACATGCAATGACCAACACTGTAAAAATAGTGAGATTAAATGTGCATTTTACCTTTGAAATTTTTAATTGCAATCATTTCTATCTGCTTTGTGTTTTGTTATTGTCACTCAAATGGTGTTTTTAAGGTTGTATGGTTATTTTAGTATCCCTCATCAACATACTGAGCAAACTCAGAAATGTCTGCTTCAATTAAAACAAAATGAAAGAGAGATAAAGTGTTTATAAAGAATGTCAGTGTTTTCTTGGTATTGTAATACTTTGAGTTTTCTCATTCATGATCAGAATGTGCTTGTGAGGACAGTGACAATGTAAATACTGCAAACGAAAGACAAGATGCAGCGGTATAAAATAAATAATTTGACACAAAAATGACCTTGTATCTATTGATGCAAAGGCTGGATGAGTTTTTTGCCTTTTGGGAAAATATGATACAGTGTGGTCCTGATACGGTGTGAATCTCTCTTGTCAGGAACAAAACGCTAGTGAGACTAAACAGACGGATGAGTCATATTCAAGCATAGCAGAGGTGTGTGTACGGAGGTGTGAGTATGAAGCTTCATGCCCCCCC